AGGAGCCTTTTGAGGCCCACGAAGGCAAAAAATGGAGGGAGGGAGGTGCAGCCCCCCACATTCCATTTTTTGGCTTCCTGGGAGCAAAAACACTTCCCAGGAGGCTTCGCTGAGGCTCAGAAGGCCCCAAAATGGAGCATGTGGGGGTTCTGTGCACCCCTTCCATGCTCCATTTTTTTACTTTCTGGGTTCCAGGGAAGCCTTCTGGGAGCAAAAAGGTCCCCCCAGGAGGCTTCCCTGAGGCCCAGAAGCCCCCAAAACTGGGGTGGTGGTACTGCAAAAAAGCCACACCCACCCAGTCACATAGCCACACCCACCTAGCCACACCCACCTAGCCACGCCCACAGAACTGGTAGTAAAAAAAAATGAATCCCACCACTGAGCAGTTACTACAATATTGGAATTTTGCAGAAATTGGACACTTCAGTCAATGCCACCAGAAGTATGTTAAAGTGACATCCACAAATGAACTTTAGTAGAACACCAGAAGCAATGGGTCATCAACATAATTAATCATTTCCAATAACTTTTCTCTCTCTCTGAATTGGTTATTACCCCATTTACAGCTAGTCCTCATCTGATAACCATAACGGAGCCTGCCCATCACAGTCGTAACTCATGATGGTTGTAAAATAGGTCTGTCCTATGGCCGACCCAATTTTACAATCCTTTTTTGTGGCAGTCATTAAGCAGTTGTAAAACAAACCAATGGTTCACTCCAGGCATGGTTTTGCCAAAAACTGGAAGTAAGTGCCTGTTTTGGTGCTTTTGGAGCTTGGTTGTTTTTCTTGCAGAGGTTTCATTACACCAACTAAGTGTATCAGTGTAGATGATGTTACTTAATTGGATAATGAGACATCTGCAAGAAAAAGAGATAGGACAGCACTCCAGAGGGTTAATGTCACTGCCCCAAAGATCATTGGTTGCCCTCTATCATCTTTGGAAGAGCTTTATAGCTCCCGCTGCCTTAAGAAAGTTCAAAACATTCTCAAAGATCCATCTCATCCTGGGAACCCCCTTTTTTTTGAACTATTACCATCCAGCAGAGGGTACAGAATAATAAAAACAAGGACAAATAGGCTGAAAAACAGCTTCTATCCCAGGGCAGTAGCTCTTTGGAATTCTGCTATATAGTGCAGTGTTGGTGCGGTGTTGGGGGTTTTTGGTTCAATGTGTGGAATGTGAAGGATGTGTGTTTGTGTTTATTTTTATGGTCATGATGTGCACTGAAGATGGTGTTTGATTTCATTGTACGTGGTTCAATGACAATAAACTAAACTAAACTAAACTAAACTATGGTTGACTCAACCTTCCATCCTTCCAACGTGGGCAAAATGAGAACCCAGAGTGCTGGGGGCAATATTGCTGACTCTGTAAACCACTTAGAGAGGGCTGTAAAGCACTGAGAAGCGGTGTATAAGTCTAAGTGCTATTGCTAAGTGCTACTGAAGCGCCCCTGAGGTCACACAGTCAAAATTCAGATCCTTGACAACTGACTCATATTTGTGGCGGTTGCAGTTTCCTGGGGTCACATGACCTCATTTTGCAACCTCCTGATAAGCAACGTCAATGGGGAAGCCAGATTCAGTTCACAATTCTGTTACAAACTTAACAACTGCAGTGATTCACTTTAACAACAGTGGCCACAAAGATCGTACAATGAGCTGAAATTCATTTAACAATTGTCTTGCTTAGCAACTGACATTTTGGGCTCAATTGTGGTCATAAGTCAAGGACTACCTGTACTCTATGAAGAAATTGCTTTTCTGTGCTGAGTCTGTGCCAAAATGTCAACTTCGTTACACAACTCCAGGTTCAGAGGTGGTCTTCAGCAGGTTCTGACCAGTTCTGGAGAACCGGTAGTGGAAATTTTGAGTAGTTCAGAGAACCAGAAAATACCGCCTCTTGACTGGCCCCGCCCCCTCTATTCTCCGCCTCCCGAGTCCCAGCTGATTGGCTGGGTCTTCTTTGGTTGCCCTGCACAGGAGAACGGAGCTGGAAAGCAGGTTAGTGGGGTGGGGAGGGAATGGGGATTTTGCAGTATCCTTCCTCTCCCATGCCCACCAACCCACACCCATCAACCCAGGTTGTAGTATAATGAAGGAGGAAACACTTTGTGTTGACAAGTAATGGTTTACATTGTTCCTCTGTGCCCATTGCTTCTGCTAGCTACCTCTAAGCCCTTTGGGGAAAAGACAGAATGCAGCTGTTTTTAAGAACAAGTGCGCCATCCTTGCTTATACAGGTGGAGCTGACACAGCCATAGCTGAAGGTAATATTTTAAAATATGATAATGAGGTCCAACTGCACTATCAAGCTAAGAGCATCTTTTTAATTTAGTAACAGATGGATATCTTCTCCATTACATTCAATACTGTTTGCCTGAGACGAGTGAATAAATGCATAGTGCCATTAAGATTGCATTTTTCCCAGTTCTGAGATTGCCCAAGGACAGATGGCAAAAGCTTTAAGCATGTAGTTAAGAATTCCAAACACTTTTTGCAACTTTATTCCTGCAAAGCCTTCTAGGTTCTTTGAGAATGCAGGCGTTGTCCTATCCTCCCTCCTGGTGTACTAACAGCTTTGCCTTTTGAGCAAAAATCTTCCTTTCTCTCTCTCCCCAACAACTCTGCAAAGTAGGTTAGGCTGAGCAATCATGATTGGCTTAAAGCTGCCCAATAAGGTGCCATGGCTAAGCAAAGATTTTAAAATGGCCTCTACCCGGTCAAAACCTGCCATTCTAACCACTACACCTTCTTACCATGGGAAATTGGAATTCGATGGTTTATTATCTCTGACTATTTTAGCTAACAACCAGGATGGATTTGCCTAAGTTCCACTTATACCCAAACAAGAAGTTTTTAGAGAGCCAGGTTAGTGTCGTAGTTAGGCGCTGAACTAGAAAATGGGAGATTGGGAGTTATTGGGTTGGAAATCCATGTAATACATTGCCACAGCAGTCAAACAAAATCCTCCAAATTAGAGATTTCACATACCTGACATGATTAAGGAATCTAACTTCTGGTTCCTGCAGGAAATCTACTGAAAGTAATCTGAACTCTCTAAGGGTATCTTTTAAATGACAGCACAACCAAGAGTCTTGCAGGTGGATTATATGCCTGGAGAGGAAATCCCAAGCCACCTGTCGCCCTAGTGAGGTCAGATTGTACTTTTAGGATGCTCTCATTGTAATACAGAAACAGCCTGCCCCAAAGGAAGAAATATCTTCAAGTGGAAGATAATTCAATGCATGGCGGGCACACTGGGAAACTAATAATATGCCCACTGTTTTTTCTCCTGCCTGTTCCAGTCCTTTGCTGTAATGATGATTGATTTAATCACTCAGAAAAGTTGATTGATTGGGTAGCTAGAAGGAATATTAAGATGGGAGATTACCAGACTTCACAATTTCCAGGAACTCAACTCTACATTCAGCAACTAACTAATAGCAGAAGCTTCATTGACTTGACTCAATTTTCTTTATGGCAGACAAGAAACAATTCATATACACACATGCGGATCTTCCTGTTGCAGAGTGCAAGAATAAAATACATATACAAGTAGTCTTTGACTTCCACATTCATTTAGTGACCATTACAAGTGAAGTTACAACAGTACTGAAAAATGTGACGAAGAGAAGAGAAGAGAAGAGAAGAGAAGAGAAGAGAAGAGAAGAGAAGAGAAGAGAAGAGAAGAGAAGAGAATTCTTTATTGGCCAAGTGTGATTGGACACACAAGGAATTCGTCTTGGTGCAAATACTCTCAGTGTACATAAAAGAGAAGATACATTCATCAAGAGTTAAGAATCATCAGGTACGACACTTAATGATAGTAATAAGGTACAATAAGCAATCAAATCATCCTAGGAAACAGTCAATATAAATCATAAGAATGCAAGCAACAAGGTTACAGTCAGTCATAAGTGGGAGGGGAGGGGTGATAAGGAGTGATGAGAAGGTTAATAGCAATAGTAGTACAGACTTAGTAAATAGTTGGACAGTAGTTATGACCATTTTCTACACTTATGACCATTGCAGCATTCCCCCTGGTCATGTGATCAAAATTCAGCCACTTGGCAATTGGCTCCTATTTATGATGGTTGCAATGTCCAGTGGTCACAAGATCCCCTTTAGTGACCTTTTGACAAGTCAATAGGGCAGACAGATTCACTTAACAACCGGGTTAATAACTTAACCACTGCATTGATTCACTTCACAAAGAAAAGTCATACCATGGGGCAAAACTCACTTAACAAATTTCTCACTTTAGCAGCATGAATTTGGGGCTCAATTGTGGTCATAAGTCAAGGACTACTTGTACATATGTACATACACACGTGTGACTACATTAGTCCATCTGCCTGTTTTTTACTCACAAATCCGCTTGTGCAGCCCCATTGATCACAATTTATCCAGACGCAACATGACGGGGGAACACACTGACCCAAAACTCATTGCAAATGTGGCCCCAAACAGTAATTGTTAAGTATCATATATGGGAAATTATTGGATATCCATGAAATAATCCAGTGAGGGATATTGAATTACCTTGAAATGTATTGAAATGCATTGAAACTAGTCCTATTTATTTTGGACAGGATGCATTGCATTCCATTAACGATGTAGAAGAAAAATGGGAGAGGAACAACGTCCTGAATTACTTGATTGCCTCACTGTGGATCCCAATGCCCTGGACAGCATTTTGTTCTCCGGGTGGGCTTCGAGGAGACTTCTCTAACTTGCTGCTCAAAAGCCCCGTGTGGCTAATGAGCAGACAAATATCGGGCCCTTTTGGCATTAGGCAACTATTGTCCATGTCCTCGGATTATATATTGTTAAATAGTCACATCATTATATAAGCCCATTTATTGCAAAAGCAACGGAGAAGTTGTGTTTTTCTTTGAATGGTTCCTATCAGGGGTAGCCCAGCAAGTGGACATGATTGAATTATATCAGAGGTCCCCAAACTTGGCAACTTTAAGACTTTTTTTTTTTAAAGAGAATTTTTATTTTAAACAAACATAGACAAACAAAACATAAAACCACCTTCCAGTTACATATAGAGTGTTGGTTGGTTACAAGCCTTTTGTGCTTCATCTCCATAGTCCTCACTTATAGTTTGTATAAATTCTCGTATTATCCATCTAGTATATATATGTATATGTATATATGCAACTTTAAGAGTTATGGACTTCAACACCCAGAATTCCTCTGCCAGCTATGCCAGCTATGAAGTTCACAAGTCTTAATGTTGCCAAGTTTGGAGACCTCTGAATTATATGGTTCATCAATTAAATTTGATTTCTTTGGATTGGATGGGGCTGGGGTTTCCCAGTCTTTGGGTCCTTTCAGAATACAATTGAGGAAAAACAATGAACCGGTGCTGGAATGACTTCTGTTCCTTAATACAATACCTCCCCCAAGCTTTTGGGCACCCGGGTCTTTGGAGAGAGGTTTTTCCACGGATCAGAGGTGTGGTTACATGTGCTGTCTGCATCCCATGGATGGGGTCTTGCTTGTTTGGGCAGCCTGATTTCTGGCATGCCGCGGCCCAGTGCTGGTCCATGGAGCCGGGGGTTAGGGACTCCTGCCTTAATGAACTGAAATCGATCTAATTCAGGGGTGTCAAACTCGATTTCATTGAGGGCTGCATCAGGGTTGTGTTTGACCTCATGGGGGTGGGGGGGTGGCCAGGGGCCATGGTCAGCTTGACATCACTCGTGTTGGGGGCACCTGTGGTGGCTCAAGCATTCTGCCAGCAAAAACCAAGCTCAGGAGGGCCATGCTCTCCGTTTTCGCAGTTTCCAGGGCATTGCGGACTGGTTTAATACCTCCAACTTGGCCCCCAACGTCCAGTTATCCTCGACTGGAGAAAAAACTCTTCCAAGAACAGTTTTTAAAGGGAAGAAATTCCATCCAAACCCAAAGTACATATAAATTATAAATAAAAGCCAACACAAACCACGCTGCAGCAATTAACAAGACGGCAAGATTAAGACTTCAAAAGATAATGAAACACACACAGTTGGGAGGACGCCAGAACCCAGATAAGACTTCACAAACAAAGATAATGCACACTTTCCTTCCAGCAAGGTGCTGTGTGCAAATGTCCTTTTTAAATCCTGTTCTCCCAGCTGCATCTAATGAAGGGAATCAGGGCCTTTTTCTCCCCTGTAACCCACATAACTCATGTTGCTCCCTTCTCTGTTCCTCCCTGTGTGCCCTAGGATGAAGAGGCGGTGGGCCTGGGTCTTCCTCTGAGTGCCCAGCCAAACTGTGCCCTTCCCCAGTTTCTTCCACAGCCACCGGAGCCACACTCCCACTCCCTGTCAGCTGCTCAACCTCCCCCTCGTAACCAGATTCCAACAGGGGCATGACACCTTGGGCTAAATCTAAGCACCACACAGGCCGGATCCAGCCTATGAGCCTTGAGTTTGACACCCTTGATCTAATTGTATGGCTCAGAGCTCATGTAACAAACAATTTGGCTATCATCTTAGCCGTGGTGGTGCAGTGGTTAGAATGCAGTACTGCAGGCTAATTCTGCCAACTGCCGACTGCCAGCAATTCACAGCAGTTTGAGTCTCACCGGCTCCAGGTTGACTCAGCCTTCCATCCTTCTGAGGTTGGTAAAATGAGGACCCAGATTGTATGATGACTCTGAAAACTGCTTAGAGAGGGCTGGAAAACAATGTGAGCGGCATATAAGTCTTAAGTTCTGTTGCTATCTTAACAGAACCAAAAGAGGAAAAGGGTATGAATTTCTTCTGCACTTCTGACTTTATCCCCAGTTAACCTCACTTTGATCTCAACTTGATTACAGCTAGTCTTCAACTTATGACCACAGCTGGATCCAGAATTTCACTCACTAAACAAGGTAGCTGTTAAGTGAAGCACACCCGATTTTATAATCTTTTTTGACAACGTTGTTAAGCAAATCACTGCAGTTCTTAAATGAATCATGCAACTGTTAAGCGAATCCAGCTTTCCCCATTGACTTCGTTTGTCAGAAGTCAGCTGAGAAGGTGGCTAATAACACTGGTTTTTTGTTTGTTGTCTTTTGTTGTTGTTGTTTTCTTTTTCCTATTGTAACATTAAACATGTACTTGATATTTTGTGACCAAAGAGGCCACATATTTTTTTAAAAAGTACAATGCAGTACATTAGAGGCCAAGTATTTGGAAAAGCTAGGAAGATAATCAAGCTGACTGTTGTTAAAACAATTATTTGACTATTTCTCCTGGGGGAAATCTATATAATATTTGTGCTTCTTTAAGCAGAAGTTCGTTTCTATTTCACTTTGCAATTATATTTAAAATATGCACAAAAATGAGTATACATTCTTATATGCATGAAAATTTAGAACACATCTTTGAATTCATTTCTCCATAATACATTTTTTCCTAATATTTTCAACTAGTATATGCCTGTTGGTTTGCAATTTTTGATCACAAAATTAATGAAACTAGAAAAAAAAAGAAAGTAATTGCATTCCAATTTGCATATTAGCTCAGAAATTCAAAATTAGGTTGTTTTTGTATTCAAATGTGAGCCCCAGAAATTTCTCCCACAATTCCTATCTTTCAGGCCAACAAAATTACAGATAAGCAAAAAGCTAAATGCCAAAACTCCACAAACAGGACAGAGATGAAGGGTTTAAATAGTAATTATTACTTTAAATAGTAATTCTTATCAACTAAGAGAGAAGTGTATTGTGCAAAAAGACAAATGTGTTTAACATTTAGGTTTTCCATCTGAGTTGACCATTTTCAGAAATGCAGCAATGTTGCACATTCAAAGATTTAATATTTTGTAACCAAACTAAAGGCTCCCAACAATACTGACTTCTAGAGAGACATGCTAATATTCATCAATACCTTTGATTTCAAATTACATTTTTTAGAAGGGCATCAGTGCATGTGGCAAAGTGAGGTCCTCCGCAGTAACTGTCCACATTTCATGCATGCAGTTTCATTAATTGAATCCATGTTTGCACAAATTAAATCCATAGCTCGGGGTAAAGCACATATCTATATAGAGAGAATTCTTGCATTTGTCTACTAAAAAGACAGAGAGTAGAGTTTACATAAGAAGAGAATTCTTGAATAGGGATATAGTTACTTATTCAATTTCCCAGTAGTATTTAATAACTAGTTTTCCCTGCTGTTATATTGATGCTTTAACCATGTGATTACCATGTCTTTATCCACATGTAGAGATCATTCAAATACTATAATCCTTCAATCACTATGAAAATAATTATCTCATTTATTTAAGGGGAAAACAACTGCAAAAATGCTTATGTTCGTATAGGAATGTAGAAATATGCATTTAGCAAAACACTTTGCAAAAATGCACACTTTAGGTAGGCTTGCAAAAAAGGGGGGTATATCTCTAGAGATGTGCACAAAAATCACATTGTATTTTAGGATAAAGGTAGTCCTCAACTTATGACAATTGAGCCCAACATTTCTGATGCTAAACAAGATATCAGTTAAGTGAATTTTGGCTCATTTTATGACCTTTCATGTCATTGTTGTTAGGAGAATCCCTGCAGTTATTAAGGTAGTAACAAGGTTGTTACAGTATTTACATCCACAACTAAACCCCAAATTTCTGTGCTAAGTGAAACATTGGCTAAGTGAATTTTACCCCATTTTGCAACCTTCCTTGCCACTGTTGTTGTCAAGCAGCTGGACTTTGATCACGTGACCATGGGGATGCTGCAAAGGTCGTAAGTGTGAAAAATGGTCATAAGCAGGGGTGGGATTCAAACTTAACAACCGGTTCTGTGGGTGTGATCTAATTTGTGGGTGTGGCTTGATGGTCATGTGACTGGCTGGGCATGGCTTGCATGTAAATATTATAAATATTTATATAAATATTGAATTTTTTATTTAAAAAAACAGCAACTTTTATCCAAAATCAGGCAAAGCAGGCAGGCAGATTGAGTTGCTCACAGAATCACATATTCACTTAGAGATCTGTGATTCTGCAATCTGCTGTCTGAGTCTGCACTGAAAAATAGAAGCTTCAGTCCTAAGGAAGGTTCAGCTCTGCGTTTAGATTAGCTAGAAAGCAAGAAATCCAATGATTTTGCTGCTGCACAGCAGAACAGCTGATAGTTGGGCGGGGGGGAGGAGTAATAGCAACTTACCAAACCCAGGCAAGTTTGATGGTGTGCATGCCAGATAGAAGTGAGTGGGCAGGGAGGGGCAGGCCAGCCAGTGGCACGATTTGCCAGTTCTCCGAACTGGGCAGAATCATAACAACCAGTTCTATAGAACAGGACCGACTAGGTAGAATCCCACCCCGGTCATAAGTCACTTTTTTCAACGCCATTGTAATTTGGAACCGTCATTAAACAAGGTGTTATGTCCCTGGAACTTGCCAAAGTCCCCACCCAGGTCCGTTCATGCTGCGGGGGCGTTTGCTGCCCCTCATTGGCTGGCTGCCCTCGGCAGCCGGCTATAAAAGCCGGCTGCAGGGTTCGGTCAGCCACTGATCGCTGTGAGCCTGCTCCAGGCAGGGCTAACACGTTCAGTCCTTTATTGTTTCAATAAAGTCTTGTTGCATCCATGCCCTGGTCTAGCCTCTCATTGCTCAACTACAACACTAGCGACGAAGGTGGGATGGCTACCAGAGGCACTCCGCAACAGCTGAAGTCACTCAATTGCTGAGCTGCAGCCGCGCTGCCGGAGAGCTCGGTCAGCAAGGAAAACGAAAGTAAAGAGCGTCTGTAGCCGCTTGGTTAGCAAGCTACAGAGGAAAGTGAAGCGCTGAGAGCCGCAGCCGCTCAACACAAAGAGCGCGAAATTCAAACGGCTGTCGTTTGAATTTCTTGCCGGATTACAGCGCGGTGCTGTTATTCCGAGTCACTGATGCCTATGCAGGCGCGTAATTTGAAGCACTATCAGAGGCGGCTAGCCATTACCGCCTGCGCTTCCCAGGAGCGCGAAATTCGAAACGCTGCCAACAGCCGTTGCAGCCAAGCCACAATCGTTAACCCAGAGAGAGCAGAGAGGTTCTGTGGAGCCTCTCCAGAGCTGAAGTCACTAGCCTGACAAGAGCACAAGGGCCATTTGTTGTCCCAGAGAGATTTT